GCAGAGGGGTACCTGGCACACCTCTGCTCCCAGGACGGGACCTTCTCTCAGCGCGTCCGAGTCTGATCGGTTCTTCCCGCGTGCTCCGTGTCTGCTGTTAGGTTCCCACCTTACGACCTGAACGCCCCTTCCTACCGCCGCGGGACACGCTGGCCTTGCCCCTGCGGCACCCCTGCCCGCCCTCCTTTTCGGGGCCTCCTCCCCCCTGTCACCTCCTGCTAGAATCTTGGCTGCTGCTCTTGATTTCAGGGAAATGTGGCCACACGGTCGGGGCGCACAGCAGTGCCCTTTTCGGGGCGGGAGGGGAGGTTATATGGTAACAGTCCATGTTGGCATATGCCCCTGGGCGCCGGGTTGAAGCACATTCCCCTGTTTCGAAAGCACCGCAGGCTTCAGAGAAGGGCACGCTTGCAGTCATGCAGTAGAACCTCCCCGCTGACTCCAGGGAGAGGGGCCGCGTCCCTTCCCGTGGGCCGCGCTCTCTCGGGAGCGCTCTATTCACTCTTCACCGCTGACTGCCACCGCGCACAGGGAGCCAGGCCCCAGGTAAAAGCGGCCTGTAGCGGGAGTCAGGTCTGAGAAAGAGAGAAGCTGGGGCAAGCTGGCATGGCATCCCTTGAGCCCGGGGGGTGCAGCTGCACTTGGACCTGACTGAATCCTCCCCCGCACCCACCCTGTCTCTGTTGGCTCCCTGAAGGTAGTTAAGAGCCAAGCTTCTCCGTCCAGCGAGCAAGACAGTTCTCGCTAAGAGATGTACTTCTTCCACGGCGTCTGACCATTTTCTCTCTCTAGAAATTTGCTAGGAGAACCACTTACTCAAAGGAACACTAAGTGAATCTTTTTTTTTTAAGAGTTTTAATTTATTAGAGAGAACTTGCGCACGTGCCTGCGGACGCACGTGGGCAAGGGGGGAGGGGCAGAGGGAGAGGGAGAAGCCGATTCCCGGCTCAGCGGCAGGAGCTAGATCCTGGGTTCTCCGTATCTTGACCTGGGCAGAAGGCAGTCGCTTAACCGACTGAGCCACCCACGCGCCCTTCAGGGAATCTTTTCTAAATGGGAAAATATTTTTTTCAAAATATACATGAGTTATATGTTTTATATATGTTTTTCTGTTGTGTATGTATATACGCATACATAACAGAGGGCTTTGATACAACGTCTGAAAACGTTTCCGAGAAGACATTCTTAAGTGTGATTTACTTATGGTTGGATGCATCTAGGAATATAGAATTATCTATAGGTCTTTTTTACATAGGTCTTCTTTACATGGCAGACAAATTAAAGACCAAGTCATTTCTGTGAAAGAGACATTTTTAAGAAAATTTAACATTGATTCATAAGCTCGTTTTATTTTTTAATTTTTAAGCTTCATTCTAGGTTAACATATTCCCAATGTACTGTACATTTGCCTTGAGCGGTAGAGGTGGTAAAGATTTTCTGAGCGCTTCTACGATTGTAGAGGAATGAATTACGGCATTCTTGGTTGATAATTCTACTTAAGGTAGAGCAGACCGTCTTTCAAAATCTGAATACTTAATACATTTTATGGGAAAGAGGTTTAGATCTTTGATACACAAGTGGTGGGGTTGGGGTACCAAGTGCATTACAGAGTCCTAAATATTTTAAAAAGCGCAGTAGAAGAAAATCCGTGTCCTCTGCTCTGTATACTGTGTCACAGAACATCTGTACCCCTTGACCTGCCCACGGTCCTGGTCCACAGTTTGTATAGGTAGAGGGAAGTCGTCCTTCTTGCCATTCTCCAGATGATTTTCTTACAGTGGAAGAGATTATTAGGGAAATAATGTCAACGTCATTAAATTTACCAAAATACTCTCTTTTCATGGGGAGTCCTATATTTAAACATTCCTGTTGCTGTTATCAAAAGAAACACCCTAACTGCTAAAACATCCAATTATCTAATCACCTCATTTCAAGGAGACAAAATGAAGATGTTAGTCTGTTTCATATTTGCAAAATGCCTTCCTTTCCTGAGCATCTACTCCTATTTACTGGGATCTTGTTATTAATAACGACTTCAGTTATTGGCCTTCCTTGACCTGCCAGTCCTTCATACGCGTCGTCTCGTATAACTTTTGCAACAACGATGAAAGGAAAAAAAAATATATGTAATAGGTGAAAATTTGGGATTAAAACAGTTTTCCCGCATCCACACAGATGCAGAGATTATGAGCCGAGGTCCCCCTCATCCCCAACAACCCCCCCCTCCCCCCCCCCCCCCCCCGTGCAAAGACCTATCTTTCAGCAGTGAGTTAATAAAATACGAGGCTCTCATTCTGTGCTGGGTTGTGCTGTTTGGCCACCATAGGTTTCAGAACCCTGTTACTTTGGTTCTTTCTGTGGTCGGAATTTGTAGTTGGTGTTCATATTTAGATATTTATAATTTTACTGAAAAATGGTAGAAGTCCTTAATCCTATGACCCATATATTTGTTTATTTACAACAGAGAACTTGTTCATCGCTGGGAAAGCAAGAAAGAAAAGCAAGCCTAGCAGTTAATGAAAGCTACCCTTTCCCCACTTATCAATCTCAGCAGGAACTCTTTTTGATGACGACTTTTCCTGGAAGCTGTGTCATAGAGTAGGTTATTGTAGAAAGAGCGTAATTTCCATTAGGAGCGATGTTCTAAAAGGCCGTTGCATCACTGACCAAGGCCTTAACTCCAAAGAAATTATATAATCATTGATCTTTATGCCTTTGCTTACTCTTTAAACTTTATTTGGTGTCTAGTCTAGGACAAGGGCTGGCCTAGGCATTAGGGAAAATAGATCTTAAGATAAAATTCCTGCCTTTAGTTCACTGTTCTTTTTAGCTGGAATGTCCTTGCACGTTTTTCTATTCGGTTAGGCCCTACTTATTCCTCAAGGCCTAAATCAGGCCCTGCTGCCTTGTTATATCCTTTATGATAACATCGAGCCAGCTTCTGTTGGTATTCACCGTACCTTCCTCTTTGTTGGTGCCTGAGCCGTTGCCTTAGCAGTTGTGACTTTTTGTTTTGGTAGCCATGTGGTGGCCTCCACTCTGTGTGCTCCGAGTTCATTTGGAGCAGGGACTGTCTTATACTTCTTGGTTTTTGCCAGCTTCTAATGGAGAGCTCAAGACTCGTAAATATTTGTAACATGGAGAACAGGAAGTGGTCCCAAATGTCTTTTCATCTCTAATATTAAACCATTTTGAAAAAAAAAGTATGCTCACCATTTAGTAAGTGTCCACTACTACATCTCTTATTTTAAAACTGTAAATAAATACACAATTGACACAAACTCTCAAAAACATTTTTTTTTTTTAAAGATTTCGTCTATTAGAGTGTACACACATGAGCAGTGGGGAGAGGCAGAGGGAGAGGCAGAAGCAGACTCCCCGCTGAGCAGGGAGCCGGAAGTGGGGCTCGATCCCAAGACCCTGGGATGATGACCTGAGCTGAAGGCAGGCGCTTAACTGACTGAGCCACCCAGGTGCCGCTCAGAAACCTTCTTTACGAGATCTTCCCTGAATTTCTAAGATGAAGATGACATCTTCAGATGGCTTCCCTCTTTGGAACACAACAAAGTGAACAGATACAATGGGTCAGAAGTCTGAAA